CACACACACACACACACACACACACACACACACACACACACACACACACCAGTACCAGTGCTCTGTTTATTTCCTGCAGAAAAGCAAGTCTGCTCTTTTGAAGATGTATTTTAATCCACACTCCTCTGCCCCCCCCGCCCCACACAACTACTCATCCCACCCAGCACTTTGACAGCTCACCCAGATGAAGGACCTGGAAGGAAAAAAGAGTGGAAGTGTGAGAGCGACAAATGGACAAAGAGAGTGAGGGAGTCAGTGAGGGGAACAAAGAGAAAAGAAAAACTTCTAACACTTACTCAACCTGGGTTTGTGTGTAAGGGATTGCAGAGAGGATTTCGCCACACAGGCTTTTTAATTAGTTGTTTCTCCCACTGCTGCATGCATAATTAGTTTGGTATTTAATGGGCAATTATGCAAAGTTCCTTTGACAGGTTTAAGTAAGGCTTATAAGTCCTCCTTTAATTGTCTTTTTAGATATCTGTTATTTAGATGTAGTTATTCAAAGTTGTTCTTTATTATACAGAGACCTGCCTTGTATAACCTGCCTCAGGGCCCAGTTTGGCTCGTCAGTGATAGTTCATAACTCAAGTAACTTCTGTTTGTGCTATTTTTAGGAAAACAGCCCAAGGACGGGAAGAAGCCAGAGCCTTGTAAACCTATTCTCAAAGTGGAGTACAAAACCACAAGAAATGGGTACGCTCTCTCTCTCTCACACACACACACACACACACACAAACACACACAGATGTGCATGTTGTGCATGTGCCATAGACAATGACCTACCCACCACTCAGTCTTTTATTTATACGATATAAATGGCTTTTATCATGTTTTTTTTTTTGTGAGTTTCATATTGAGTGTACTCTACAGTTAGTTAAGTTGTGTAGTCAGATTAACTCATCTGGTAACATAGCATAAGGCAAATCAATGTTGTCATCATGTTGACCTGCTGTTTAATGTATCCTCTTAGGTTCAAGGCCAGTGTATAAAAGCCCTTTATGTAATGGTATAATGCACATGCGTGTGTTCGTTCCAGGGAACCCTTCATAATCCTGTCTGGTGGTCTGTCCTATGACACGGTGGGCCGGCGGCCATGTCTGACGGTAATGCACGGAAAGAGTACGGCTGTGCTTGAGATGGACTATCCCATAGTAGATTTCCTCACACTCTGTGAGACACCATACCCTAATGGTGAGTGTGTGCATGTCTGAGTATTATGTTTGTGTGGATATTGTCATCATATTCATGGAAAAACACACACACACACACGCATGGCTACGCCAACACACACCTATCTGGTGTTTAATTATGTTGGACTGCTTCCTCTTGTGTTTGTGTGTTTCTGTAATAAATATGAAATTTCCCAAGAGGGAAGGATCCGATTTCACTTTCATTATCTGTCACTGAATATTAGATTTTCATTTCATCTCTTTCTACACAGTATCCTTCCATATAAATTACATTATTATCTAATTTCCTGTATGGAGAAGTCAACAGCTGAAACAAGTCTGAGTGGAGATGAATTGGTGCAGGATCCTGTGCGTTTTAAATCCAGTACGTAAACTCTGGTGCAGCGTTATCTCGCACATATACAGTCACAGGAAGGATTAGTGAGTTATGTAACAGTGGTGACTTCATTATTTCACTGGCAACCTTATGTCACCACCCGCTGATTTCATCTGGTAATGGACATTATTGTGTCTGTGAATTACACAATACATGTCTGGCTGAGTTAAGCAGTGTTAATGTGTAATCCATGATGATGTGGCTGCAGATGATGCTGCAGTTTATATACCCCAGTACTGTGTGGAAACAAGTCACAAAGACAAAGTATGTGTTTAAAAGTTTCTCATAGTAAACTTAATATAACCTATAATAAATGTGGGCTGTTCTTGCCTTGTCAGAAATAAAGTTTAGTTTCTTAAAGTCTGTATTTTTAAAGCTTAAATCTACTATAGTCAAAATTGTATGTATTTTCACTGGATCGTATAAGTCACATAACTAACCCTATACGAAAGAGGTCACTCATGGCAACAAATCCACAGGGAATTATCACCCAATAATTCCCTTGCTGGCTGTTATGGCCTTATGGCATCTTTCTTTTTCGTTTTGTTTGTTCTGTTCCTTATTTGTCGTCTACATCCTTTTTACTTTTCTGTCTTCGTAATTTAAAACAAGTGTTTGATTAGATTTGTAATTTGTTTGTGTCTTAAGCTTAATCAGCCTTGAAAGTAGCCGTAATTATAGTTGCTATTCCCAGCTCCTAAATCCCAGCACAGACGGACATGGCGACAGTGGTCGGCGAGTTGATTTACGCAACAGAATGTGAAATCCCTTGTCGACCAGCACCAGAGAAGTAAAGAGGAGCGAGATGTGACAGAATTGTCAAAGAGCTTTAACCTTGGTGACAGTCTGAGACATGCCACTCATCCACATCCACTCAAATAGGACATAACAAAATGTTTGTGTGTGTGCGATGCTATTTCTAAATCAAATATCCCCCAAAACAGGGGGATGGTAGCTGCTGTGTATACATAATGCAAAGACCTGTGCTTCATTACTGCGGTGGACATAGCCTCAGGGCAGCAGGCGATTTGAGGTTAGAGAGGCAACCTGGTCATAATCTTTATTCCCATAGATTTTGTCAAGGTGCCCTTCGGCAAGGCGTTTAACCCCCTACTTAACCAGCTACTGTGGTTAAAAGGTTCTCAGCAAAAAACAGTAATATATTCTCTAAAAATCAACCTGGATTCTTTATTAGCATTAACCTGCATCACAACCAACATCTCTATAAACCGGTTCTGCATGTGAATATTCAGAATCTATAGGCGATGGACAGGAGTTTGAAGCCGCTTGGATTATTTTTCAAATTCAACCAATCACGTTTGAGCAGGCTTTGCTTGCCTCCAGGTAAACGTTCTGTGGGGAAAGCAAAAAAAGAGTCGGAACACACTGACTGAAATGCATCAGCGATCAGCTTTTTCATTCATCTGCATTCATATGTGGATATTAATATATAATATAATATTAATAAAAAACAAGCCTTCATCTGAGGAGGAGATGTATACATGTCGTTTATTGAGCATTATGGGTAATTCGTGACTCGCTCCGCTGTTGTGTCTATGTTGAGGATGCTGTTATATTCATTATATCAGTTAAGATATTTATTTTATGTGAGATTCGTCTTAAGGTGGCAAATGAAAGTCTATCTTTAAAGAGACTGATACAAATATTTAACCAGAGCAATATCCCCTACAGTTATAAATCACTTAGAATAATATATATGTCTTCAGGGTGTACATACATTTACCATAGAAACTCAGAGATATTCCTCCCCCTGTGGTTTGCAGATTTCAAAGAAGAAAGCTCTAAAGGAATTGCGAAATTACTAAAGTTGTGTTTCTGTGTTCAGATTTTCAGGAACCTTACGCTGTGGTGGTCCTTCTGGAGAAGGATTTAGTGGTGATCGACCTTGCACAAAATGGGTGAGGGTCAAAAATATCAAACATGACAAACTTGAGGTTGTTGTCTTTATTCTATTGCCTTTACACCTCAACTTACTCTTATAAATATTAATTATTATTTATTTGTTTCTGTTCTGTCCTGTCATCAGTTACCCCATATTCGAAAACCCCTATCCTCTGACCATCCACGAGTCTCCTGTGACCTGCTGCGAGTACTTTGCCGACTGCCCTGTGGACCTCATACCTGCACTTTACTCTGTTGGCTCGCGGCAGAAACGACAGGGCTACAGCAAAAAGGTACAATACAGGAAAACTGCATCCTGTTCTTTTTCCCACTGATGCTGAAGAAACCTAAACAGAAACAAATAAAGTTTTGCAAAGTGATTTCTGAGTAATTTAGAATCAATTATATGAAAAATAGAAATGTCCTTGAAAGACAGTTTA